TATATGTATATATATGTGTATATATATGAACATATGATCTCTGTGTGTGTTTGTGTGTGTGTATGTTATTTACAAAGTTGAAATATCCTTTTTGGGTTTGGCTAATCATGACCATTTCACAATCTGAAAAATTCTCTTGCCCACTGGAAATAGTGCATTTCTCTCAAAGTAGAGGCTCACTTGATAAAGATGAAAAAGAGGGAATCTGAAGAGAAAAAGATACAGGAGTTAGAATTCAAGAGGGTATACTGTTCCCTCCCTTCCCCCACACTCCCCCCAAAAAGGTTCTGATTAGGTTCAGAAGGAGAGTCAGTGCATTCCTGGTTTTTAATACTTCATGATTTTTGGAGGGATCTACCTTGGGTGGGCTGTGTCAGAAATCCTTTCTAAACATGCAATATTGAGACTGTGGCTACTGGACTTACTGAGCTGATGTCTTTGAGCTCTTTCACTGGCTGAAAGGCAGTGATATGTTAGGAAGACTTAGGCAGGTGTTTAGGATTCTGGAGCTCAGGTTGTCACAGTCATTATTTCTCAGGCATTTCTATCTAATTGGTTAAATCAAGTAAGAATAGCTGGACCACTTTTCTCTATTTGTATATTCCTGGAGAACCCACTGTAATCCGTGGATTCTAAAGCATCCTGCACTGCCTTGTGTCTGCTTGGGGTAGGGGAGGTTAGATTTAGCAATTGATAGTATTAATCAACATGTCCAGTAAGGAAGATTTAGTAACACCTTTTTTTTTTTGCCAGGTGTGTTTCTAAACATGTTATATTTCACTTAGTTCCCAAGAAAATCCTTTGAGGGTTAAGGTGCATATTTTACAGGTGAGGAAACTGAGGCTTAGGAGTCTCAAGTAGCTTGTGAAGGTCACAATAGAGAAAAAGACAGGGCTGACACTTTCTATTTTGTCTGATTCTAGACAAACAGGCTATTTGTTCAGTTAAAGCTTCAACAGAACTGAGAGGAGAAGAAAGCCCATTGAGTTATTTTACTTTTTGGCTTTCCTTGAATTATTTTTCCCCTTCTTGATTTTTGTAGGAGTCTGGTCAGTTGATGTTTGTTAATCACATTCTCTGAAAGGAAAATCTCGTTATGATTTCAGTTGACCTGCAGGGAGCTTTAGTAGTGAGCTACTTTTATGTATGTACATTAAGAAGGTATGTAATAGTCTAAACTGTACTGTGGATAAAGAAAATAGTCATATTTAGTTTGTGTTGGTCCAGCCTTTTGGCTCAAAGGTACCTGAGACTGAGAATAAGCTCATATCTTATTTCATAACATGTACTAAAAAAAAAAAAGCTAACCTCAACATAACTTTAAAAAGATGTAAAATGTTACAGTTGGGAGGAAATAGGTGGCACAAAGTGTTGTATATAATTACAGTGTAAAAAGCTTGAAAAAACCCCACAAAATCAACTTGGCCTGATTTAAACTTTTAAGCTCCCGTAATGTTTCAAGGATGAAATGAGCTAATTTCTGTGGGGGTTTTTGAGAATGACAAGCTGGCCCAGAAGTCATGGTAAGCAGGACTGAATAATTGAATTATCATTTATCACCGTCTGCTAGACCCAAGCATCTTGCCAGAAGCAGGAGTCATCCAAGAATAACCTGTTTGTTAGTTGGTGATGGATATTGTTTTAAAGTTTACGGGCCAGAGAGCTTCAGCTCATCCATTCAAGAGGGAAGGTGAGAAGTTGGACCGCTGTCTGAAAATCTAGGAAACTTGGTGGGCTTTCTAGGCTAATATGCCAAGTGTTTTATTGTTTAGTTGGGAAAGCATAGTAGCATGCTCTTGCCACTGCTTTGCTGTGACATCCTTCTCTAGAAAATGTCTAAAGATGAGAGAACCAGGCTTATTACTATTTTGCATGATATTTTTTTTCTTGATAAATTCCCTTTTTCACATAAGGCCAAGGAAAATATGTTGGTGCCTTCTCAGATGCAGAGCTGATAGGAGTCAGCTGCACACAGATTGTTTCACTGGAAGTGATTCTCTGAGTCCTTAGGGCACCTCCAAGTCCATCAAGTGTACCTGAGAAGGGCCCCTCCTCTCCCTACCCCTTTTCCATCTAACTGGAGAACAGAAGGAAGTGACTGAAGCCAGCGAGCTCACCCAGCACTGGAAACCCGAGAAAATACTGGAGTCTGAGATTTAGAAAACCAGAAGTCAGAGCTTAGTTTGGCATACATTTTGTTCAGCAAAAAACATTATTCTGAGGTTTAAATTTCCTCTTTTAAATCCAGAGGTGCAGTGTAGAAATGAACCCTTTGCTCATAAAAAGCAACGTGAAATTTGGTGTTACGTGAAGTGTAGCCCCACCTTCCTTGGAGCTAACCAAATGCTGGGAACAGAGGAGACCTTGTCTCCTCTTTTAATCACAAAAAAGCTCTATCACTGAATAAGTAGCTACCAGCAACTTAGATTCTCTTGGGTACCTTATCTCTATAAAATCCGCATGTTTTTCGTTGTTCAAATTTACTGGCTGGAGATTCAGTATCTATTATCTGAACAAGTGTTGGGCACATGTTTGAGTTGGAGGGAGGTAGCTTTGCATCAGGATTCAATTTACATGTGTGTGATGGAGAGTGAGGGAGAGAATATAAAATAGTCCAAATTGATGCTTAGTATATACATATCTGAGGTACACCTATTGCCACTTTTTTTTCAGATTTGTTTTATATCCTTTCTAGTATTAAATGCTTACTAAGAAAGCTATTGGAATTTATTTTTATTCTCTTCAGAAGATGATTAACCAATTGCCTTTCAATAAAACAATATCTGAGGAAGAGAACTAATTTACAGCAAATAAAGAGATTTTGCTGGTTGAATTCACAAATGCCCACTTGTTTAAAGCTCTCTAAGTGTTTAGGCTAATTTATATTTTGCTAAAGCTCAGAGAGCCAGAGTGAATCTTCCTAGGTCACACAGCTGCTGAGAGATAGAATTGGGTTGTGAGACCAATACGTTCTCCACTAACCTGATTTGCTTTTCCTGGTCATTTACTATTCACAGATGTCTACCCATATTTTCAGGAATTTCTGGAGGGGTGGTTTCAGCCCCCACAAAGCTAAAATGAATTCTCTCTGGAAGAAGTTAGAGTAGTTTTGGTCTTACAGTATAAATCATATTTGGAATTTCGAGAGCTTTCAAAGGAAAGAAACCCTGGTGGTTTGGAGGGTAAGTATTAGGCTATTCACTGAAAGACTCCACCAGCTGTTCTGGAAAAGACAGTCTTCTAAAGATCTATAAGCTCCAAGACCAGGCCAGCTCTACTCTGTTCTATAAGGTCAAAATTGACTTGATGGGTCAAAGTTGACTTGGTGGGTCAGTGAATTTTATTTTTTATTTTTGGATTCTGCGCCCCTCCCCTGCCCTGCCCCAGATTTTTCAAAGTGGCAATTCTTGGGATGACTTCATGTCACATGGGCAGAAAGTTTTGGCCCTGCCATCAGACAGGCCTGAGTTCTGTCGCTTACTGGTGGTGAACTTGGGCAAGTCACCTGACTT